AAATTTCCACCTAATTCCGCAAAAAAAAAAAAAAAAAAAAAAAAAAAAAACATTGCAAGGATTCTGGTAGCTGTAGTAAAATGACATCATGAAATCGTGCAATAGACCTTATTCACCATACCCGCCATCTTTGCACGCGCTTTAGGCCGGGGCTTTAGGATCGATGGGATAATAGGAGTGTCACTTACCGTGTGGAAGACGTGCGCCGCCGACAATCAGATCCTTTCAAAGTACACACTAGTCACTTAGCAGTCATACCCATTTTTGATTCGTGATAAAAGCAATATCTTCATGTTCAGACAATCCGCAGAGTTGAAGAACACTTTTGGAAGATCGAAACAAACAGTAAAATAAGGCGAAAGCCCTCATCAACCTCATCTAAAAGCAATACCGCAGGGCGCAATAATTTGAAATGAACAATGGACGAAGGACGGCTTGTTTCTTATCACGTGCTTTTGTCAAATCACCACAGCTCACGAAGTCGTGATTTCAGTCGCGCGTGACGTCTCAGAAATAATATGCTATGCATGGGCGGAATAATTCTTGAGAGATAGATAACCATACGGCGGAGTTTGTTCAGATCTGAGCACTGTTTCTTAATGCAAAATAAACGAGGTGAGATCTTAGCTTGGAAAGTTTATACCGGAGCTCCCACTAGCGCAAAGCGCGCGTGGGACGGAGCCCCATACTCATGGAATATGGTCAACCTCTTTTCGTTTGGTTGTCACGTGACTGACCGAGCGTACGTACCTACGTACATACGTACGCGTCTACAGATTGTACGGTTGGGGTAGGGGAGACTATCAAAAGGAAGGGAGGAGTGTCTCAGGCGTGCCTGGGCAAGTCCACATTTTTATATAGGACATTCGCAATATGGTCAATTGATAGCTGTCAAAACAGGATAGCCTCTGACCAGTATCCCAGACCATATCGCAGGCTCATGTGTGAACTCATCGAGGTGACGTGATTTATTTGGAAGCTGTCCGCTGACCAGTTAATTGTTTTACTAGATCGCGAACAATGTTCAATCTCATACTTTTTAGCTAGTTTGGGAGCACAGGAAAACTGATAATGCATACATATTGGACATCAATGTTTTGATCAATTGACAGCTGTCAAAACAGGGTACCTGCTGATCAGTATCACTTGACCGTATCGCGGGCTCAGGTGTCGACCCATCGAGGTCAAGTATTTCTTGAAGTTATCCGCTGACAAGTTACTAGTTTTCAAGTGATCGCAGAGTCAAGTTCAATTTTTTTTTAAAATTCATATGAAATATGTTGTGTTTATGTGCCGCACAATTAAAATGTTGTTTTCAAACTGACCTCGGAAGCAAAAAATTCAGCCAGCTGTTACAGGCAGGGAAGACAGCTGCCTTTGACTTTTCTCACCATGGTCACGCGTTGGTCACGCTCTACGTCCAATTTTTATGCTCTGATTGGTCAAACTTTGACAGGTGAGTTCATTCGGAAAATTTATGCAGCATCTTGAATCTTGTTTACTTTGACAGCTGAAGCTGACAGAGTTTTGTGTCAACTTGTGATGTTTTTAACTGTCTTTTTCCACTTTACGTCGCTTGTCAAAGTCGGAAATCCGATTTCGGATGGCATCGTTTTCGTTTTCACCTTTCTTGATGAGTAAGAGGGTTGCAAAGTTTGAAGCGATACTGGCCTTACTTGATACCTTTCAGGAGCTGCATCTCGAATGGTAAGCCAGAGTAATTATTGTATTTGATGTTTGATTTTTGTATCTAATTTAATGAAATCGAGCGTAGTTTATACGGGTATTTAGTTTATGCATGTTTGTAAGATTTGAGACAATGAGCTGACCGAGTATCAGGTTTGATATAAGCTTACAGAACTTCAAAAAGCCTTCAGTCACCGCAAATAGAAATAAAACGTTCCAAAGAATATTTATAATTGTAATTATAATTATAATTCTGGCTGTAAAAGAAAGCTTTCAGCGATTTTCTTGCCTCGAGTTTGTCTTTGAAAGAAACAAACACCGGGAAGCCGGCTTAAAATATAAACTTAAGCTTTAAGCTTGAAGACAGGATTTTTAGAGACACTTTAATACTTGTCTTCCTGAATGAAAATTGTGTCTCTGTATATGTTTCACCGAATTACTTTTCTTTTATTGATTGTTAGTAGTCTCTCTTGTAATGTTAATCGCGGTGCCGATTGTTTTCAGTCGTTCAGTGAACATCGCTTGCAGGAGTACTCAAAATGCCGCGCGTTAAACCATTAAATAAAAAATAACCATAATTAATTCTTTATTATGTTGGAGCGTAACTCTGCTAATGTTAATTCAAATACTTGCCACAGCTCGCACTATAAAAGTGAGAACCGGATGGCCGTATAGGTGATTTTGAAATTTTTTTAACGGTTAAGCTAAAAGCCCACGCGTACTTCCATCGTCCTGAATATTGAATGAGTGCAATTTGCATTGCAAAATTATGAAATACTGCTTTCTGTCCGAGGTCTGTGTGATAAAAACAGTGCCTCACAGTATTGTTTCACCTCAATTGTGATGTATAAATGGTATAAAAGGTTTTTTCCAGGCCTAATTAATCTACGGTGATCAAGAGCTACTATGGCTCTTCAATGTGATCGAAGATGATTACCAGTTTCTGGGTGTACACATGAGGCTATCAACTCGATGTAAGATTTGGTTCACTCTTGGGCTGTTTGCAATTATTTTTCTCTAAAATCACGTAGCCTTTGGCCCTCAAAAGTCACATAAATGTGCTCTAAAGTTAACTGAATTGTGGAATACAAGTTTATTGTTTGATTTAAATTGTAAATTTATTAATGGAAGCCTCGCTTTTAGCCTTGGCTAAATCTGTATATCAGTTTTATTTATAATTGTAATTAAAGGGCTTACTTTAGATAAACCTGTGTTTACCGCATGCATCCGGTTCTCCACGGCTATGTCGGCTATCTGCGTCTGTTTGTGAAAAAAATTTCCATATAAAATTAAAATGCGAGTTTAAGAAGTTTTTTTATTATTATTTTTAACTTGTGGAATGTCCCGTAACTGCGTTAATTGAATCACGGCGGAGATTTTCGCCGAGAGCTTGCAGGTAATGAACATTGACATGACATTGAGGATTGATCTTTTATGGCACACTGTCACAGTTGCGTATTGTAGTTATTAATAAGTCAGTCAGTAAGCTCAAAATCTATTCCTAATTTTCTTTTCTTTTTCAATTTCTTTTTGATTTGCTAGGAAATATAATTGTTCGCTCAGCTTCAAAGTTTGTTGAGAGAAGCATCTAGTCCACAATATGTGACAGCTTGTTTTGAGTCATTTACTGATGAGTTCGCGACACGATGAAGGCTAAAAATTAAGTTTGTGTAATTGTTACTTTGTCTCTTATTAAGTATACTTCGTTAGATCGAAGGTCGGTGTTCAGTTTATAATCCTCAGCGAAACAAGAATTCCCGAGATAGAAAAGTATTAGTACGTTTTGTTTGAAAATTTGGATCATTCTAAGATGCTGGGCAAAGTCCCTTAAAGTGTTCACTTTAGGACTCCTTAAAGTGAACACTTTAAAACTCCTTAAAGTGCTCACTTTAAGACTCGTTAAAGTGCTCACTTTAACACTCCTTAAAGTGTTCACTGTAAGACTCCTTAATTATAAAGTCTTCACTTTAAGACTCCTTACACTTGAAGACTCCTGTAGTCTTCACTTTAAGACTCCTTAAAGTGTTTACTTTAATACTCGTTAAAGTGCACATTTCAATTTAAGACTCAAGTGTACACCATGACCCCTTTAAGTGCGGAATAAGCACTATAAGTGAATTTACTTTTGAAATCTGACCAGGAGGTTAAGAAAGAAAAAATGAGAAATAAAAACTTAAAACAAAGCACTCCATCTCTTATTATTCTGGGGAGAAATCCATAGCAACGTATCAATTTATTCCCATTCACTAATGACAAATAAAACATCTGAAGTTTCCTTTTTGTCAAAAACATACCAACCAGTCACCAAATAGATACTCTATGCGTAAATCCACTGGGAATCAACGAAAACTGTTCATCGAACTTGTTTACTCATCAATAGCATAGCTCTTTTATTTGATAGACCGTAATTCAAGTATTCTATGTGCGACTCTCTCGAACGTGGCAAATTTTATTTTATTAAATTTTACAAGAAACTGCCTAACGCACTAAACAGTGAAAGTTCAAGTTTTGTCAAAATACACTTCCTCTTCT